TCATGCATGCTAGGCAAGCACTCTACCACTGAGTCACATTCCCAGCCATGGCTTTTTTATAATTGGTTAATTGGAGATAAGAGTCTCAGGAACTTGGGCTGGGAAGGTGGCTCAGTGGTAGAGCGCTTGCCTTGCATGCTCAAGGCCCTGGGTTCGATTCCTCAGCACCACATAAGAAAAAAGAAAAAAGCTGGAAGTGGCGCTATAGCTCAAGTGGTAGAGCGCTAGCCTTGAGCTGAAGAGCTGAGGGACAGCGCCCAGGCCCCGAGTTCAGGCCCCACGACCAGACCCCCCGCCAAAACAAAACAAAACAACAACAACAAAAAAAACAAAAACAAAAAGAGTCTCAGGAACTTTGCTGCCCAGGCTGGCTTCAAACCATGATCCTCATATTAGCCTTCTGAGTAGCTACGATTACAGGCTTGCTGGCACTGGCAAAAGTTTTTTTTTTTTTTTTTATTACTATATCTTGAAGTAGTTGTACAAAGAAGTTCCCATTCTATAAAACAGTATATGAGTACAGTATCTGACAACATTGTCACCCATCGCTCCTAACCCATCCCCTTCTCTCACTTTTTTTTAAAATTGAGATTAGGTGTTAACATAAATTTCACATATTTCACAGTATAAAGTTTCTTTTATATAAAATTAAAACATACAGCCAGGTGCTAGTGGCTCATACCGGTAATACTATCTACTCTGGAAGCTGAGATCTGAGGATTATGGTTCAAAACCAGCCAGGATCTGTGAGATTTTTTTTTTTTTATCTCCAATTAGCTATCAAAAAAGCCATAAGTGAAGAGCCTAGATGGCCCACAATAAATGAGTGGATCAAAAAACTGTGGTACCTGGGCTGGGAAGGGGTTCAGTGGTAGAGCGCTTGCCTTGCATGCATGAGGCCCTGGGTTTGATTCCTCAGTCCTAGATAAGCAGAAAAAGCCAGAAGTGGTGCTGTGGCTCAAGTGGTAGAGCGCTAGCTTTGAGTTGAAGAGCTGAGGGGCAGCGACTGGGCCCAGAGTTCAGGCCCCACGACCGACAAAAGAAAAAAAAAAAGTGGTATCTATATACAGTAGAATTTTACATAGCCATTAGAGTGAAATAATGTCATTCGCAGGGAAATGGATGGAACTAGAACAAATAATGTTCAGAGAGAGAAGCAGTGCAAGCTCTGACATGTGGAAATTAAAGCTAAAATATACTGGGATATGATAAATTATACAGGATTCTAGATACTCATACAATGAGACCAAAAGAGGATATTCTGGAGAGAGAAGCACAAAGATGCAATGCCTAAGTGCCTCTTCCTATGAACATAATTAATATATACATATTGAAATGAGCTCCAAGATATGGAAACAAGTGACTTCTCTTTTCTGATTTTTTTTTAATTTTTTTATATTTTTATTTTTCAGGCGATTCTTCTTTTCCTTATATATGGTATATTCAAGTGTTATGCCTTCAGGAGGGTTGTGGGAATAGTAAAGAACTAGAGGGAAAAGAGTGAAGTGCAGCAGCAGTGGAGCTCACTGGATACTGGTGAAAGAAGCATACAACTTGTGGGTAGAGACAGAAGAGGGTCTGGGAGAGAGTGAGGGATGGGAAAACACTGTATGAAAGGGAATGTACTCATTACCTGACTCATGTAATTGTAATCCCTCTGTACATCACCTCTATAATAATAAAGTAAAACAAAAAATTTAAAGCCGTAAGTGGAGCTGTGGCTCAAGTGGTAGAGTACTAGCCTTGAGCAAAAAAAAAAAACTCAGGGACAGTGCCCAGCTCTAGTTCAAGCCCTGGGACTTGAACTCAAAATCAAAACATAGATACTGCATCTTTTTTTTTTCCCTAGGGGGGTAGGGAGGGAAGTTCATGATGCCATGTAAAGTATGAAACATGAAACCACACAACAAATTAGAGCAGAAATACATAAATGAAAATGAAGAAATAGTTGCTGTGATTTCAGAAAGCTATGTTGAACTACAAGATTTGATTACAAGATTTGTAATAACTGTATACAGAGGTAAGACAGAGGACACAAAAGAACCTCTCCTTTTAAAGTTCTAAGTTTAGCATTTGTGTGGGAGAGGTTGGGCCTGCCTGCCTGATTTTTTTTTTTTTTTTTTTTTGGCATGTTGCTTTGCTTGAAATGGGGGAGGGCTGACTGAATATAAGAACTTGGGAGAGTTGTAGTTGACTCCCTATTCCTAAATCACATTTAGTACTGCTTTCCAGCCTACTATTTTCCTTCTTCCTTTCTTTTTTCCTTCCTTCTTTCCTTGCTTCCCTTTCTCCCTCCTCTCCTTCCCCAACTCTTGTGAAACAAACTCTCATTGTGCAGTCCCGGCTGGCTTTTAACTCTGATCCTGCTGTCTCAGCTTCCAGAGTACTGGGATCACATGCACCAGGAACATCACACTTGGCTAAGTCCCTGCTTTCTTAAAGAAAAACAAAATAATAGACTAAAGACAAGAATTTCCATGAATAAAATCGAGAGATCGATATGATTAGTTATGTAAGTATATACAGGGTGGCTTCAGTTAGAAATGTTTTGGTTTTGTGCTAGTTTTCTTAATATTTTCTTTAAACATTTTCTATTACATCTTTTTGTCCCTTTCAGTTTCTTTCATGGAAAAGACGGTGGGAATTGCTGTTGAAACTAGTACTGTTTGAGGGGTGCCAATCACTCATGCCTGTAATCCTAGCTACTCAGGCGGTCGAAATCTGAGTATCTCAGTTCAAAGCCAGCCTGGGCAGAAGTCTCCATCTCCAATCAACCACCAGAAAATAAACAGAAGTGGCGCTGTGACTTAAAGCAGTAGAGTGCTAGCCTTGAGCAAACAAACAAACAAAAAGACCCTCAGGAACAGGGCCCAGGCCTCGAGTTCAAGCCCATGACCAAAAAACAAACAAAACAAAACAAACTTCCCCAGTACAGTCTCGTGCAACTATTGTATGGGTAACACTCACATTACCAGTCTGCTTGAAGCATTGCCCTTCCCACCTTTAGCTTCAAAGAAAAAAGACGGCATTAAAAGGCAGCAGGTGAGCCTAGCATGCATGAAACCCTGGGTTTGATTCCTCAGTACCACATACACAGAGAAAGGTGGAAGTGGCCCTGTGGCTCAAGTGATAGAGTGCTAGCCTTGAGCAAAAGAAGCTCAGAGACATGCCCAAACCCTGAGTTCAAGCCACAGGACTGAAAATAAAATGTTCCTAATGTATGCTGTCCACATGTGGAGAATTTGTCAAGATCTCTCCCTCCACCTGCCACTCATCTTCAATTTAGAACTCTACTACAACAATGTGTTTCTCAATCGGGCACTGGGGGCTTACATTTGTAATCCAAGCTACTCTGGAGGTTGACAGCTGAGGCTTGCTGTTCAAAACCAGCCCAGGCGTGAAAGTCCACGAGACTCTTACCTCCAATCAACCACCAAAAAGCCAGAAATGGAGCTGTGAATCAAGCGGTAGAGTGCCAGCCTTAAGTGGAAAAAGCTACGAAAATCAGCGCTCAGGACCTGAGTTCTTCAAGCCTCAGAACTGGCAGTAATCATGTATTTTCTACCAATCTGCTGGCAAACTTCAGCACTGGTGTAGTCTCCATGGCTTCTTCCAAGAAGCCCTCGGGATCACATCTCCCACAAATCGCGTGCTTCTGTGTTCTTCTGGAATCTCTCCCTCCTTCCCGCCCCCAGAACCTCCCTAAAATATCCGACAGTCAACCTCACAGGAGCAGATCACCCCCCCCACCCACTTGTTAGGGGTGTTAGGGATGACCCCCAGGAAGTGACAGCCGCGGTCACTCCCGTCACCAGGTGCCAGGTAGTACTTTCCAGAGCTATCTTCCTCGTCCAGTTCAACCACAGCGAAAACATTACTCTTCATCTACCGTCCCTAGCCAGTGCGCCCAGACTGCAGATCCCTCGTGGCGCGGTCATAAACACAACTCGGTCATAAAGGCGATCGCGTGTGCACAGGCCGGGGGGTGGGGGGGAGAAAGCACCACGCGGGGAGCGGGGCTGCCACGCGGGACTTGGGATTGGCTTCCCCGTGAAGAATTCAAAATCGGCGGGGACCGCATTTAAAAGCAAAATTAAGGAAAGCAGCGCCGCGAACCGGGTGTGGGGGGGTGGGGTGACAGGCCAGGAAGGGCAGGGGTCGCCAGGGCGTGCAGGTCAGCTTCGAGGCGGTCCCCCAGCCCTCTCGGGACAGCTGCCCGCCCCGCCCCGCCCGACACGCCGCTCACTGCCCCCCCCTCCGAACACACACGCCGCTCACTGCCCCCCCCTCCGAACACGTGACCTCCCGGACCCACTGAGCGCCCAGCCCACTTCATTTTCATATTCTGTCCCCGCCCAAGGGGGCCGCCCCCACGTCCCAGCCTGGCCCGGGCCGTGTCCCCTCAGTTGGAACGGCACCGGTTCCGGCCGTATTTATTCAGTATAACCAACCCCAGACGGGTTCCCCCTCTTCTGCAAGCTAGGTTAATCCATACACCCAGTGACGAATGCCCACTTGAAGCCTTAGCACTGAGCCAACAGTCCAAGACAAGTTCGCCACGTCCAGCTCCCCTTCCACGTTCTCTCCGCCCAGCAGGCCCTTTCTTTTCCCCCACCCCCCGCCTAGGAGTCTGCGCTACTCATTGGCCATCTGCCCTGTCAATCCATTGGACGTAGACGAATCCCGCTTTAGAAAAGTCAACGATAGTGGGGGAGCGGGGCAAAAAGCGAGTACGCCTGGCCTTGGGGGCGCGCGCCTAACGCCCCCAAGCGGCCGACGGCCCTGGGGGAGGATCTCATTTGCATAACGGCCGCCCCTGGGTTTCCTGGCTCGGGCTGGGGTCCCGCCCCTCACTGCACTAGAGGTCTGTTGAGCCCCGGGCGGATCCCTGGGGAGCCGGGCAAGCCGGAGGCGGGGCCGGCAGGGCTGGTGGGGGCGGGCCCGGCCGCAGATTGGCTCTGGGAGTTCGCCGGAGGCGGTGGCGGGGAGGCGGCGGCTGGGAGGAGGCTTATAAGAGCCGGGCACCGCGCCCGGGGAGCGGGGAGCGACTGAGGTGGTGGAGCTCGCGGAGCGTGGTGCCGGCGGCCGTTAGGTGGGCGCCGCAGGGCGGGGGACTTTCTTCCCTACTTCGTGGTCTTCACGTCGCTTGCTTGTTGGTTCGCCTTTTCAGTCAAGATGTCAGCCCGCGGCCCGGCTATCGGCATCGACCTGGGCACCACCTACTCGTGCGTGGGGGTCTTCCAACATGGCAAGGTGGAGATCATCGCCAACGACCAGGGCAACCGCACCACCCCCAGCTACGTGGCCTTCACCGACACCGAGCGGCTCATCGGCGACGCCGCCAAGAACCAGGTGGCCATGAACCCCACCAACACCATCTTCGACGCCAAGAGGCTGATCGGGCGCAAGTTCGAGGACGCCACGGTGCAGTCGGACATGAAGCACTGGCCGTTCCGGGTGGTGAGCGAGGGGGGCAAGCCCAAAGTGCAGGTGGAGTACAAGGGGGAGATGAAGACCTTCTTCCCGGAGGAGATCTCCTCCATGGTCCTCACCAAGATGAAGGAGATCGCCGAGGCCTACCTGGGGGGCAAGGTGCAGAGCGCCGTCATCACCGTGCCGGCCTACTTCAACGACTCGCAGCGCCAGGCCACCAAGGACGCGGGCACCATCACGGGCCTCAACGTGCTGCGCATCATCAACGAGCCCACGGCGGCGGCCATCGCCTACGGCCTGGACAAGAAGGGCTGCGCGGGCGGCGAGAAGAACGTGCTCATCTTTGACCTGGGCGGCGGCACTTTCGACGTGTCCATCCTGACCATCGAGGACGGCATCTTCGAGGTCAAGTCCACGGCCGGCGACACCCACCTGGGGGGCGAAGACTTCGACAACCGCATGGTCAGCCACCTGGCCGAGGAGTTCAAGCGCAAGCACAAGAAGGACATTGGGCCCAACAAGCGCGCCGTGCGGCGGCTGCGCACGGCCTGCGAGCGCGCCAAGCGCACCCTGAGCTCGTCCACGCAGGCGAGCATCGAGATCGACTCGCTCTACGAGGGCGTGGATTTCTACACGTCCATCACCCGCGCCCGCTTCGAGGAGCTCAACGCCGACCTCTTCCGCGGGACCCTGGAGCCCGTGGAGAAGGCGCTGCGCGATGCCAAGCTAGACAAAGGTCAGATCCAGGAGATCGTGCTGGTGGGCGGCTCCACCCGCATCCCCAAGATCCAGAAGCTGCTGCAGGATTTCTTCAACGGCAAGGAGCTGAACAAGAGCATCAACCCCGACGAGGCGGTGGCCTACGGCGCGGCTGTGCAGGCGGCCATCCTCATCGGGGACAAGTCTGAGAACGTGCAGGACTTGCTGCTGCTCGACGTGACTCCGCTGTCGCTGGGCATCGAGACGGCCGGCGGCGTCATGACTCCGCTGATCAAGCGGAACACCACGATCCCCACCAAGCAGACGCAGACCTTCACCACCTACTCGGACAACCAGAGCAGTGTCCTGGTGCAGGTGTACGAGGGCGAACGGGCCATGACCAAGGACAATAACCTGCTGGGCAAGTTCGACCTGACCGGGATCCCCCCGGCACCCCGCGGGGTCCCCCAGATCGAGGTCACCTTCGACATCGATGCCAATGGCATCCTCAACGTCACCGCCGCCGACAAGAGCACTGGGAAGGAAAACAAAATCACCATCACTAACGACAAGGGCCGTCTGAGCAAGGACGACATTGACCGGATGGTGCAGGAGGCTGAGCGGTACAAGTCGGAGGATGAAGCTAATCGCGATCGGGTCGCAGCCAAAAACGCCGTGGAGTCCTATACCTACAACATCAAGCAGACAGTGGAAGACGAGAAACTGAGGGGCAAGATTAGCGAGCAGGACAAAAACAAGATCCTCGACAAGTGTCAGGAGGTGATCAGCTGGCTCGATCGAAACCAGATGGCAGAGAAAGACGAGTACGAACACAAGCAGAAGGAGCTTGAAAGAGTGTGCAACCCCATCATCAGCAAACTTTACCAAGGCGGTCCTGGCGGCGGTTCCGGAGCCTCCGGGGGACCCACCATCGAAGAAGTGGACTAAGCTTACACGCAGTCAGCAGCGTAAAGCTCTTTTCCTTTCTCCCCTCCCCCCCCCCCCCCGCCCCTTTTCCCCCTTTCCCCTTTTTGTTTTGGTTTCTTTGAAATATCCTTGTGCCAAGTATGAGACCTATTGTTGGAAGTGTATGCATATGAAAGGAAAGGTGCAACAACTTAGTTTATAAAATTTTATCCTTATAAAAGGTTAGTTCCAAAGTTTGATTTTGAAAAAAAAAGAAAGGTTTCTCTTTAATGCATTTTGAATGCTGATTTGAGTATTTCTTGGTTAGTGCATGGAGATTTGTTTGAGCTGAGAAACCGACGTTTGCACACCTGTCCTGTGGAAGCTTGGTAACAAGATATAGAGAAGCTTGAATTGTTTATTTTATGTACGACTTTAAGATTAAAGCAAATCTGCAGTAATCTTAAGGACAGGTATCTTTCTGCAAACATGCATAAATGCAAATTTAAAGTAAAGTTGAACTTGATCTCAAAATTACTGTCTTGGAGTTTTCAATTTTCTCTTTCCAATGTTTTAGTTATTGATCTTTACCATAGTAGAATAACAAGAAATTTATCTAATGCAATCTTCTCTAATTCTCAGATGAAGTTCCTGCCTTGAAATACCAGCAACTTAAGGGGAGAAGAATCTGGGTAAAATTTTCTCCTCCTTTGATACAGAAACCTGAATGGGTTTTGTAGTGTACCCAAACTCCTGAGACCTGTTTAGGTGAAAGTCCACCTGAGTATTTTGGGGTTCTCTACAGTAAGAAAAATGGGGTCAGGAGTTAACTTTTAGTAACTTGCAGAAGTATTGGGGAAACAGGCTGTGTTTGTGTGACATCAGAGTGCTGGGGACAAGAGCCAGCAGGCAAACTTTAAAATGTCTTTAGATTCTAAATCTAGTGAAACTTGTTTTAACTTTAATTTTCTAATAAAACAGTTCTGAACTTATGACTAAGAACATGTTGTAATTATATAAGAACAGTTGCAATTTTACTCTCTTGGAGTTTTCAATTTGGAGGTATACGTATTTTCTCTCATCCTTTTCCTTTTCCTTTTTAGTAGGTATTAGGGATTGAAAGCAGAACATGCTAGAGAAGCACTCTCTGCTGGGAGTGTCAGCCTCTCTTTTCCTGTTTGAAGAACAGAATGACTTTGTAATGCCTGCCTTAAATTGCCAGACTAGATTGTTTTGTTTACTTTTAAGTTATCTTTAAGTAGTAGATTTATTTTTTAAAGGTGTACTACAAGGTGGTACTAGGCTTTGTTCATATCCAATTTGATAATTTTCCCATATATCTGATTATAGGTAGAAATATCTCAAATTTTGGAGGGGCTGGGGGTTTAGCCCAGCGGAAGGGCTCCCGCCTGGCGGCACAAGGCCCTGGGTTTGGTTCTCAGCCCTGGAAAAAAAAAAAAAAAGACATATCTCAAATTTTGGAGATCCATTTTCCTGGGTTTAAGCTTTAAAGTTAGTCACATCCTCTGGAGAAGGAGGTTGGGTTTGATTCTTTAGTGGAATGACACTTCTGCTTTCTTCTGCTTTACTTTTTATTTTTTTTTTTGCCTTTTTTTTTTTTAAGGGGGACGTGGGAGAAAAAAAGTAGGCTGATTTGAAATATATAGTTTTAACCTAATATTCCTCTTTCATTGTACATTTCTTTTGAAATGATAAAGGTTTGCATTATTTTGTTCTTAATAGTGAATTATACAAGTTGTTTTCAGTTTGGAAGTGGAGCCTTCTATCTCATGCAGAAGCATTAAATTTTGGGATAGTTGTTTATTTTTGCACTGGTCCTGGGGCCTAAACTCGGGGCCTGGGTGCTGTCTCTGAGCTTTTATGTTCAAGGTTAGTGTTCGACCACTTGAGCTACAGCTCCACTTCTTTTTGTTTGTTTGTTTTGTTTGGTGGTTAATTGAAGAGTCTCATGGACATTCCTGTCCTGGCTGGCTGTGAACCATGATTCTAAGATCTCAGCCTCCTGAGTAGTGAAGATTATAGGCCTTAGCCACCAATACCCAGTCTTGGAGTGACTTTTGACATGAGTTTTAATACAAGATGAATTATATTACTTTTTCTAGTCCTTTATTTTTTAAGATGTTTTTCCTGCTCTGTCTTCAAAAATATAATGGCTTCTTTCCATTTTATACCATTATACCACAATTTGGTATTGGTATGACGCATTTTAGGACTCAATTTAGAAGAAATTAGCCTCTGAAATTTCAATGACTCATAGTAGGTAATCTCTGATCCTATGGCCTGACTTCCTATAACTTAGTATATACTAACCTGTTCTATTTCCTGTTACTTTGAAAAGTAATTTGTAAAACTAGGCTTCTTAAGTTTCATTTTTGTTTTGTTTTAACTAAAGCTTACTCTAGTTATACAGAGGGAAGATTTGCTTGCTTGTTTTTTAAAATTTAAATCTATCGCCTCAATTTAGATATAAACATTACTAAGATAAAAACCAACAAAGTGGCCATAAGAGCTGGTAACATAAGAACTCCTAGGAATCTTTAGCAGATGCTAGGCCAGCCATAGTCAAATAACAATGGAAAAAGTACTTGATGTTACAATTCGGGTAAATTTCAGTTCACTGATTAGCATCACTTGAATTTAAAAGTAATGAGTTAGGGTACTTATTAGTAGTCATGACTAAAGCAAATACACACACACACACATATATAACTATGCTATATATAACATATATGCAAATATTATCACACACACAACAGACACACACAGATATTTGGTAAGTGCTGGTGGCTCATGCCTATAATACTAGCTACTAAGGAGGCTGAGATCTGAGGATTGTGGTTCAAAGCCAGGAGGACCATCAATGTCTGTGAGACTCTTATTTGCCAATTAACCAAAAAGCTAGAGGTGGCTTATAGAGCACTAACTAGTCTTGAGCAAAAAAGCTGAGGGACAGTGCCCAGGCACTGAGTTAAAGCCTCAATACTAAGAACCAAAAAAAAGAAGAAACAGAATATTCAGTTGTTTTTGTGTGTTTGTAAGTAGGCACAAGTAAACTTGAATTACAGAATTAACTGCAGAATTAATGATACTGGGGCTTGAATTCAGGGCCTCATGCTCTTGCTTGGCTTTTTGTTCAAGGCAGGTGCTGGTTAGTTGGAGGAAAGAGGCTTTTAAGATTTGTTGGCTCCGGATAGCTTTGAACTGAGATCCTCAGATTTCAGCCTCCTGAGTTGCTAGGATTATAGGCATGAGCCCCTTGCACCATGCTACTTTATAGCATGACTTTTTTTTTTTAAGGAATAACTTGAAAAATTATAGTTCCTTTGTTATGAGTTTCTAATATGTTTCTAATATGATTTTTATCTTAAAAAAACCTAATTCTTAAAAAATACTCAGTAAGATAGGTCACTTTTTAGAATAAGTGATTTAGAACTATTATAAATCTCTCTTTTAAGGTAAGATAACATTTCTGTTATCTTAGGTAAGATATCTTACCTAAGATAACAGAAATGTAAGAGTTACTGAAGTTTTCCTATAGAAAGCAGAGAGGTTTTTTTTTTTTGCCTGACAGCAGTCCATTTTAACATATACACAACACCTCATGTACCTTTTTTTGAGCAAGGTAGCAGTTGTAGTTCAGGCTAGCCTCCAATTCACCATCTTTCTCCCTCACTGTCAAGAGATGTAATCTGTAACTTATAATCCCACTATGTAATCTGTAACTTATAATCCCACTGTGTAATCTGTAATTATAACATGCTCAAGTATTTATATTACTTTTAGTAGATAATGTTGTTTTTTGGAGGTATTGAGGTTTGAACTCAGAGCCTAATGGCTTGCTGGGCCTGTGCTCCACCACTTGAGCCACACTCGTAGCATAAGTAATTTTTTTTATTATTGTCGTTGGTTGTGGGATTGAACTCAGGGTCTGGGTGCTGAACCTGCGCTCTACCACCTTGAGCCACAGCTCAATTTTGAATGGTTAATTGGAGATAAGAGTCTCACAGGGACTTTTCAGCCTGAGCTGGCTTTGAACTGAGATCCTTAGATCTCAGCTTCCTGAGTAGCTAGGATTACATGGCATGAACCACCAGGGCCTAGCAATAACTCTTTTTTTTTTTTTTTTTTTTGTCCTGAGGCCTGGGCACTGTCCCTGAGTTTCTTTTGCTCAACACTAGCATTCTACCACTTGAGCCACAGCACCACTTCTGCCTTTTTCTGTGTATGTGGTACTGAGGAATCGAACTCAGGGCTTCATGCATGCTAGGCAAGCACTCTATCACTAAGCCACATTCCCAGCCCAACTCTTACTTTTTAAATCTTAGGTACATTAGACTGAATTTAGGCCATGATGAGAGATATAAGACCTTTGGTTTCTACTAGCACTTGATGGATTTTGAGGGTAAATTGAAGAGGTTTACTGAGCACACTCTAGTAACAAATGTGACATAACTAGATTCCATCCAGATTCCTTGGTGGTCTTTGTATCCTCTGGAACTTTACCTTATTTTCTTGTAATTCTTACATCAGGTATTAAACACACTGGTTGGGGAAAAGCCCTTGGTATGTTGGTTGTTCTCATTTCTTCCCAAGTTGTAAGCAAGCTTGTCCACAGCTGCAGGCAAGCATTGCCAGTCCATTTGAGCCAATCTGACAGCACAGGAGCAGACTCAGTTGAGTAGAACACGAATCTTGAATGTGCAATTTTTTTTGCCACTAGAAACAGTGATTGTCTGTTACCAAGTAGATTGGGAGGGTAGAGGAAGCAATGGGGTGTTTATTATCATTGTAAACTGTGTGGAGTGTGTACTCACTACTACCCAGCATGTCATGCACAGTAACCATGGGGATGCAGAAGCAGACTACATGAAGCATTCTCAATCATGGCATCATCTACATTGTTTGTAATGATGTTGGAGAATACAATCTGCACAACGCCGCCATTACAAAAGGAAAGCCCAAGCTGGGTGTCGTCTCATGCCTGTCAATCCTAGCTACTCAGGAGGCTGAGATCCGAGGGTTAGGGCAGGAAAGACTCATCTCCAAGTGGTCACTAGAAGACCGGAAGTGGTGCTGTGACTCAAGTGAGCATTCTGCTCACCTTGAGCTGAGGAGCACAGGGACAGCGCCCAGGCCGAGAGTTCAAGTCCCACAACTGGCAAGAAAAAAAAAGTCAATTGAGTATGCACCAGGCTTCCCCCCCCCCCCACGTAGAAAACACTTTAAGCTGGAGCGCTGCATGTATTGCTCCTTAAGAGTCGGCATGCCTTGAGTTCATTTTCAGCAGCAGCCTCCGAGTTGTCGTGGCGGATATTCCACAAGTAGTTACAGACAGGAATGTCTGCAACTAGTCACCACGCCCCAGGCTTCTCCCACCTCCTCTCCCCCAAGCCCCAGCAAACCGCGCTCGCTGCGGCGACGTGCAGCTCGCTTTTACCGCTTTTACCGAGGTGCTCTGGGAGTCCCTGTAGGGCTTTTCGGTACACCTCCCAAGCACCGTTCCTGCGGGACAACCGAACGGCCTGGGCCGGAGCAGCCAGCGCGGAGGCGCCCCGGGCGGGTGTGGACGCGGGCGGTAGCCGGGGCAACCAGCGGGGACGCCGAAGCCTAGGCCGGGGCCCCAGCGCCCGCGGCGGTTGGAAGCCGCGCCTCCCCCGCGGGCCGAGCGGAGCGCAGCCGCGCAGGGCCCCAGGGCCGCGGGGGAAGCCGGGCCTGGCGCGCGAAGCCCAGAACCCCTCGGCCCAGCGGAGCGTCCTCGCCCGGTCCGCCGGCGGGTCGTCGCGCGTCCTGAGCCCGCGGACCCCGTGAACAGGCGAAGGTGAACTCGGCAACCGGCCAGAACTGAGGTCCGGCCCCCACGGGTCGTCTGCGTCCCCGATGAGCTACTTGAAGACCAGGCCTCCTCCCCCGAGCGGGATCATCATAGAGGACAGATCGGTGGGTCGCCCTTTCCTACTCACTAAGGGCGACGTGGAGGCTGCCTTGGACAGGTTAATTTTGTCGAAAGGCCTTGAGCTCCGTGCAGTCTAAATTTTCCTCCTCCCTTTCCATCCCCTCTCAGCTCTCCCTCCCCCTCCTCCTCAAGAGGAGGATTTAACGTTTGTGAGTACAAGCTGCGAGTTCAAAGTCACCCGGCCATCCTTAGCCCCTTCTCTCCCAACTCACCCATCCCCTCAATTCACCTAGTTCCACTTTTACATATGTACCTCGAATAATGTGATGACTGCATTCACTTACCCTTCCTCTCTCTATTCATCGGCCCCCCTCATCCTTCTCCTTTTCCTACCTTGCTTCCTTCGTACAGGTGGGTCCCCCCTCCCTCCCCCTCACCCGAAGTCATGCCTAAAAACAAAAAGGTTAAAGTCCTGGTTTGTTAAAAACACAAAGATTCTGCTAGGGATTAGTAATGGCTTATTGTGTATATGGATTGTGAATTTTTATTTTTGCTACAATTATTTCATCTTTCAGCAATTGGGATTACGATTAGGGATGTGGTACTGGAAAGATGACACCAAAACCCTCGAATTCAGAAGGTAAATTTTATGCAAAACTTTTCTCAAGCTTTTGTGAAGATGACTTGTGCTTGGGATGAAAAAAGATGAAGCAATAGATAAGAGCATAAAGGATAATAAAACTGGGGTGAAATTCCCCCAATCCCGAGATGCTCACTGTGCTGCAGAGCCTCTGAAAGCTCACTTTCTATCAGTGCCATCTCAGCTTCCTAGGAACCAGTTACTGTGTCAGTCACAGGCTGTTTAACCAGCCTTTGAAACCACTGCAGGTTGAATGGTTTACAGAAAAGGAAAGAGGTTTTAAAGGGCTAGTCGATTTGAGGAAAGTGTAGGGACACATTTTCACACAGCTCAGAAGTGACCAAGATGATTTAAATCCAGGAAGATAATATTTCATTCCACATTTACTTAGCAGGGGTGTTTCTAGAGATTGGAGCTGCTGGGTGGAGCTGGGATGACCCCAAGCTGCTTTTGCCTGATTGGAAATTAATGGCCTTGGCCATTAATGGTTCAAGGATAAACACCACTTTGTCTTGATTAGGATGGTTATATTAAAGGACAGATGGGGCTGGGAAGGTGGCTGGGTGGTAGAGTGCTTGCCTTGCATGTATGAAGCCCTGGGTTCAATTCCTCAGCACCACATAAGCAGAAAAATGCCAGAAGTTGCACTGTGGCTCAAGTGGTAGAGCCACTTCAGCCTTGGGCTGAAGAGCTGAGGGACAGCGCCCAGGTCCAGAGTTCAGGCCCATGACCCAAAAAAAACAAAACCAAACAAACAAAAAACAATTTATAAAGAACAGATGGTAAAAAAAAATCTGTACATTATAGACATCCAGTAAGAGCTATTGAAATATGTCAAAATGCTTCAGAGATTTGAAGATTTTATTGAATACTTTCTAAATGGTCAGTAGACACTACTCATATTTCTTCCTCTATATCTGTCAACTTTTTTCAGTTATGTAATAAACTGGCATATTCTTATAAAAATTCTAGCAATGCACAAGTATACAGATACAGAAGATAGCTCTCTTTTTTGGGAGGGGGGCAGTCCTGGAGCTTAAACTCAGGGCCTAGGCACTGTCCCTGAGCTTCTTTTTTCTTTTTTTTTTCTTTTTGGGTCCAGTCGTGGGGTCTGAACTCTGGGCCTGGGCGCTGTCCCTCATCTCTTCAGCTCAAGGCTAGTGCTCTACCACTTGAGCCACAGCGCCACTTCCGGCTTTTTTCTGCTTATGTGGTGCTGAGGAATAGAACCCAGGGCCTCATGCATGCAAGGCAAGCACTCTACCGCTGAGCCACCTTCCCAGCCCCCCTGAGCTTCTTTTTATACAAGGTTACTGATCTACCACTTGAGCCACAGCACCACTTCTAGCTTTTTTCTGTTTATGTAGTACTGAGTAATGGAACCTGGAGCTTCATGCATGCTAGGCAAGCACTCTACCACGGTGCCACAACCCACATTCCTTTTTTTTTCTTGCTTCTACCGCAAGTATTTAAGCACACTCCCATTCATGAACCCATTCCTTGTAGACAATAGGGGAAACACCAGAAAGAATGAAAAGCTTAGAAATCATCTACTGCAAACTAGGTGCCAATGGTCTGAAAAGGAAAGAGAAGGTACAAGGGTACCACTGCCTTATGCCTATAATCCTAGCAACTCAGGAGGCCGAGATCTGAGGATCATGGTTGGAGGCCAGCTTGGCAGGAAAATCCATGAGACCTTTATTTCCAATTACCCACTATCAAGCTGGACGGGGAGCAGTGACTCAAATGGTAGAAGGCTGGCCTTGAACAAAAGAAGCTCAGGGATAGCACCCAGAACCAGTACACACACACACACACACACACACACACGTACACACGTACACACACACACACACACACACACACACACACGAATGAAAGGGGGGGAGAAAAGGAGCAGGAAAGGAAGAAGGAAAGGAAAAGGAAGGAAAGGAAAGGAAAAGAAGAAGGGGAGGAAAGAGGAGAGAGGTGGAAAGGAAGGGAAGGGAAGGAAAGAAGGGAGCTTGTATCTAAAAGCTCCTGGCTCCATAGCAAATACTAGATACGTTTTGTTTTTTTTTTAATTTTGAGATTTCAAATAGAAATGTTTTGTAAATGGTGGTGGTCTGGAGGCTGCCAAGGCTTATAGGCTGGATGTAAAGGTGAAGCTCTAATCTTCCCCCAGCTAATGGTCCCTAAGGTGATAGATGGGTGCTGCTGTGCACTGCAGAGACGCAGACTCTGCTGATCATGTGATTAGTTTCCCCTTGGGAAGGGTTCAAGTTCCTGATTATCTCCATTTCTTTTGCAGCTTTGTACCTGCGATAGAATACAGGGAAAAAGGAAAGAAAGGCAAAGCAATTCACTTTGCTGAAATGGATGGCTCAGCTGCAGAAAGGTGGCTTGACTTCTCATCCATCCAGTGCGGCTGACTGTGCTTCTCGAAGGAATCTCTTAAGCCTTTATATATGCTACCAGACCCCAGGCACCCTAGACTGAGAGTGCAAAACCCTATCAAAGAAAAAAAAATGCAGAGTTTTGATGCGAATTACAAATAGTCCCTACCAGTGTGTCTCTGTTATAACAGCTATTTTCATTTGTTTATTTCTCGTACTAGTATTGGGGCCTGAACTCAGGGCCTGGGCACTTTGTCACTTAGCTTTTTCACTCAAGGCTGGTGCTCTACCACTGGAGCCACAGGCCCACTTCCAGCTTTTTGCTGGTTTGTTAGAGATGATTTCACAGATTTTTTTTCTGTCTGGGTTGGCTTTGAACCAGGATTCTCAGATCTCAGCCTACTGAGTAGCTAGAGTTATAGTTGTGAACCACTGGCACCTGGCTCACTACTTTCATTTCGTACAGCTTTTTTGTTTTTGTTTATAAATCTGAAACTGGTAACTACATCAGAACTAAATGATTATTCAGTGATTCTGGGTATTGAATCCAGATCCTCATACATGCAAGATAAGTGCTCTTCCAGTGAGCTCTATCTGCAGCTCTATACATGATTTAAATGATCTAGTTCAGATGCAGTTTATGGTTACATTTGTATCAGCCAGTATGCACACCCCCTACCCTGATGTCATGAATATAATGTTCAATGAAGTACATTGTGGAATGATCTATATTCAATGAGGTCCATGCAGAACAATCATAAACCCCCCTCCTTTTTTTTTTTTTTGCCAGTCCTGGGTCCTGGGGCTTGAACTTAGGGCCTGGGCTCTGTCTCTGAGCCTCTCTGTGCTCAAGGCTAGTGGTGGCACAGCACCACTTCTGGCTTTTTCTGTTTATGTGATACTGAGGAATCAAACTCTGGGCTTCATGCTAGGCAAGTGCTCTACCACAAAGCCACATTCCCAGCCCAAGGATCTCATTATTTTTGAGTCCATGCTTCATGCACCTCAGGATAGATTTAGATACAACTAAAATCTTTTCAAACCCTACTAGAGATTGTTATATTCCAAACCAGGTTAACAGATAAAAGGCATCCTTCAAGAGAGGACAAGTCATCAAAAGCCCTGGAGAAACGAAGCCATCAGGGGCCCGTCACACTGGACGATGTTAAATGTGAGACACTTTCCTCCTCACAGATGCTACTGGATTTTGAACTTCTAACAACCCATTTCTCTAATCGTCTCTCCTCTAATTGTCTGTCTTTTCTCCTTTCAGTTGTTGCTTTACTTTCATTAGAAGCTACTGAGATGCAGCGGATCTGTTCTTTTACCACATTTCTGAGGTATGTCATGCTTGAACTCTGTATCTCTTCCCTTTTTCTTTTGCAGTCATTTTTGTCTGATAAGTGATAATAGAATGATGTTTAGAGAAGAAGCTCAAGGTTCCTCTCAGCGCTGGGTCAGGATCCAGGAGAGGAAGTCCGAAGTCATAGAAGCCCCCTAGTCCCAGATTACACAGTGCAGAGAGTACATTGTCGGAGTCCATACAAAGTGCAGTCTAAACATCCAAAGATATACCCAGTTGCTGGAGAGCAGTTTGTCTGCCAGTAATACTTTGTAGATTCAGTGAGTACCTATATGACTCGGAGTGTTTCTTTACCTTTCTTAAACATAGGTTCTTCAGCTACAAAATTGGGAAGGAACAGGGTGTCCTTTACATAGCAGTATGTGCCTCGTGTGGCACCTCCACTGTGAGTGTTCTGTGAGCATTGGGTACCCAAGGTATTGGCAGTCCTCTGCATCCTCTGAGCCATTATGCACTCACATGAAGGCTGCCTGTGGTGAACATCTCAGACTGAGCCTGGAAGGTCCTGTTCCACCACAGGAGCAAGGTCATCCTGAGCACAGGGCAGAGCAGGTGGAGGCCATGTCAGAGGAGGAGTCAACAGGCAAATAAACAAATGTTGTTTTTTTTTTTTTTTTTTTTGTGGCATCTCCCATCCTGTTGTGGTAGGATGGACTCCCATTTGTCTGTGGTGATAACTAGTTAGCCCCCTTTCACAGGCTTCTTCCCTGCCCTATCTCATTTCCCTACTTCCCAGCTGATTTTTCCAAGGTTATTACCCCATCAACTACCCCATCAACTATTTACCCTCAGGTCTTTGCTTCAGGGTCTGTTCTGGGGAAACCCAACCAAAGACAAGTAGCCATTAATATCTTGAAAAAGAAAAATCTGGCCAAATGCCCATGGCTCACACCTGTAACCCTAGGTCTTCCGGAAGCTGAGACATGGAGGATTGAGGTGTGAAGCCAGCCCAGGTAGAAAAATATCTGAGACACTCTATCTCTGATTAACCAGCAAAAATGCTAGACTGGAGGCATGGATCAAGTAATAGAATGCTAGCAATGAGGAAGGAAGCTGAGTTAATACAAAGCCCTGAGTTCAAGTCCCAGTATTAGCACACCAAAAAAAAAGTTTTAAAAAAATGGCCTATCATTTTAAGTCAGTACAGTGTTTCTGGAAAGCAAGACATGCACATTTAATGTGCACAAGCTCTGTGTTCTAGCAATTTCACTTCTGTCTGTAATTTTTTTTTGCTCAAGGCTGGCTCTCTAGTATTTGAGACAGGCCTTTACTTCCATACCTATAATATTTTTAAATACCTATGTATCAAGAAGAGGACCAGTTAAATAATTTACTATGCAAATGCTATATTCAGCTGTTGAACAGAATAAGGAAGGTTTATACATAAGATTGCAGAAGAGAGTTCATTTGCTATAACTGGCAAAAGCAAATTGCAAACGATCATGCCTATAGCAATATACTATTTATTGTCAAGAAAAAACCAAGAGCTTTAAAGGCCTATCTTCACACAAATGTATGTTGGTAAGAGAGAATGTTATATGTGAATGCCTCTGCTTTTTGCTCTTGTTACTTGAAATAGGGTCTTGTTTTATCTCCCTGTCAGCTTTGAACTATTTTCCTTCTATTCACACTTCCTGTTGTAGCTGGGATGACAGATACATAGGTTTATTCCCAGTTGGTGGTTGAGATATGGAGTCTTGTGAACTTTGTGTCTTCGTTGGCCTCCAACTATCATCCTCCTGATCTCAGCCTTCCCAATAGCTAAGATTATAGGTGTGAGCCACACCTGGTTTCATTTCAGACTCTTCTTCTTCTTCTTTTTTTTTTTTTTTTGTTGGTCATGGGGCTTGAACTCTGGGCCTGGATGCTGTCCCTCAACTCTTCAGCTCAAGGCAAGTGCTCTACTACTGGAGCCAAACACCACTTACAGTTTTCTGGTGGTTAATTGGAGATAAGAATCTCATGGATGTTCCTGCCCAAGTTTGCTTTGAACCATGAATCTCAGATCTCAGTTTCCTGAGTAGCTAGGATTATAGGCTTGAGCCATCGGCACCCCCTCGATTTTAGACTCTTAATAGTAGTTGTGACATTAATTAATAGAATGATGACAGAGAGGTGGGGGTTTTACTTCATACATCTCTGTGCCTTTTGTTGTTGCTGGGTTTTTTTTGCCAGTCCTGCGGCTTGAATTCAGAGCCTGGGCACTGTCCCTGAGCTGCTTTTGCTCAAGGCTAGCAGTCTACCACTTGAGCCACAGCACCACTTCTGACTTTTTCTGTGTATGTGGCACTGAGGAATAAAATCCAGGGCTTCATGCACGTTAGGCAAGCACTCTACCACTAAGCCACATTCCCAGCCCCATTTCTGTGCATTTTTAAGACAATAGAAATATTACTTACATAATAAAAACAACAATAAGCATAATTATTAGAATTTAATGTCTATCTCAAATTTGCTTTTTTAAAGTAAAAATCAGATGTCTTGCATCATCAAGAATTCAGTAGATAGGGATAGGAAGGTGGCTCAGTGGTAGAGCGCTTGCCTTGCATGCCTGAGGCCCTGGGTTCGATTCCTCAGCACCACATAAGCAAAAAGAAAAAAGCCGGAAGTGGTGCTGTGGCTCAAGTGGTAGAGCTCTAGCCTTGAGCTGAAGAGCTGAGGGACAGCGCCCAGGCCCAGAGTTCAGGCCCCACGACCGGACCCAAAAAAAAAAAAAAAAGAATTCAGTAGATAAAATTTTAAATTGTAAATTCTTTTTTTTCTTTCTAATTTCTCCATAGAAATAAGAATCTTGACAGTTTCCTCATGGCATTATTATACTATTTATCTCATTACTTGGAAAAAAACTCACTGGAAAAGAAACCCAAAAGCTATATGGTGTAAGTAAGATTTTGCAGTGTGTTTTAAAGTTTATCATTGACAGTTATCAAGGGTGAAAGGATGCTGGAATTAAAAAAAAAAATCAGGTATACAGAGGGTCATTTTACATGGGAAGTTTTTGCCTGTCTTTAAAGTCACCGAATGACTCATGTGGGAATTATCTAACAAAATATTCTAGCTGAAATAGACCAGTATTGCCCAATAATTAGATTTTGAACTGATGGACTAGGTGCTGTCCTTAGCTCTTTTGCTCAAGGCTAGGGCTTTACCACTTGAGCCACAGCTCCACTTCCTGCTTTTTGCTGGTTAATTGGATATAATCATCTCTCAGATTTGTCTGCTGTGGCTGTCTTCTAACCTCAATCCTTAGATCCCAGCCTCCTGAGTAGCTAGGATTGCAAGTGTGAGCTGCTAGTGTCTAGCTTACTACTTTGATTTCTTACCAAGTTTTGCTGGTTAATTGGAGGGAGATGAGAGTCTCTCAGATATGTCTGCCCAGGCTTGGCTTAAAACCTCAATCCTGGATTATTCTTATTTTTTATTTTTTTTATTTTTGGTCTGGTCGTGGGGCCTGAACTCTGGGCCTGGGTGCTGTCCCTCAGCTCTTCAGCTCAAGGCTAGCGCTCTACCACTTGAGCCACAGTGCCACTTCCGGCTTTTTTTTTCCTGCTTATGTGGTGCTGAGGAATTGAACCCAGGGCCTCATGCATGCAAGGCAAGCACTTTACCACTAGCCACCTTCCCAGCCCTCAATCCTGGATTATAATTGGCTGGGAAGGTGGCTCAGTGGTAGAGTGCTTGCCTTGCATGCATGAGGCCCTGGGTTCAATTCCTCAGTACCACATAAGCAGAAAAAGTCAGAAGTGGCACTGTGGCTCAAGTAGCAGAGCGCTATCCTTGAGCTGAAGAGCTGAGGGACAGCGCCCAGTCCCAGAGTTCAGGCCCCACTACCAACAAAAAAACAAAACAAAACAAAAAAAATCCTCAATCCTCAGATTTCACCTTCTTTTTTTCCTTCGGTTGGTCCTGCTGCCTGAACTCTGGGCCTGGGCGCGGTCCCTCAGCTCTTCAGCTCAAGGATAGCGCTCTACCATTTGAGCTACAGCACCACTTCTGGCTTTTCCTGCTTGTGTGGTGCTGAGGAATCAAACCCAGAGCCTCATGCATGCAAGGCAAGCGCTCTACCACTGAGCTACCTTCCCAGCCCCAGATTCCAGCTTCTTGAATAGCTAGGGTTATAGGCATGAACAACTGGCACCCACTGAGATGAATTTTACTTGCCCCAATGACTCTATTGATTAGTTTTGCAGCAAATGTGTTAATACTAGAAATATAGTAATGAGCTGTTTTACTTTTGTTTTTTTTTTTGGTCGGTCGTGGAGCCCGAACTCTGAGCCCGGGGGCTGTCCCTCAGCTCTTCAGCTCAAACTAGTGCTCTACCACTTGAGCCACAGTGCCACTACCATTTTTTTCTGCTTATGTGGTGTGAGAAATCAAACCCAGGGCCTCATGCATGCAAGGCAAGCGCTCTACCATTGAGCCACCTTCCTAGCCCCCTTTATGCGCTTTTTATGCTTACAAAATTCTTGCTAAAGGACTTGTAAGCATTTAATACAAAAAGCTAAGGTTTTTTTCTTTTGGGCGGGGGAGGGGGGGGGAATGTTATTAGGGTTTGAACTTAGGACTTTAGCATTTTCTAGGCAGGCACTGCTTTAACCACATTCCTATCGCCTTTTTACCTTTTTGTTTGTTTATTTATTTTTGTCAGTTGTGGGGCTTGAACTTTGATCCTCCCAAATTCTTCCTTCTCACATAGTTTAAATTATAGGTATAAGTCACTGAAACTGGCAAGAATTTTTTTAAAATAGTGGGTTTGGTCAAAATGACATCCTACATCATAGTAAAAACTCCAAGGCTTTTTTTGGTACTACTTGAAAAGAACTTAATATCGTTAGGCAGAGGTGGCTCAGAGACTTACATCCTGAGTAAAAATCAGGAAACTTGGAGCACAGAGCAGAGTGGTGCCTCTCAGACTTGGTGACCTTGTACAAGCCATGGAACTTTCCATGTACGCAGACTGCCCTCCCCAGAACACGTGGAGCCAATCCAATGATTTTGCTGTTAGGAATGTGGGGAGAACCATTAATTTGCTGTAGATTTTTTTTTATAAGTGAAAATCTGTGAAGTAGCATTATTTTTATTATTATTTTGTGTATATTGTAGATTTTTTTTTAAATGCAAAACTCTTGTGTAAAACCAAGCAGGCTGAGGAACATTTCATGTATAGATAACTGTTTCTGGCAAGTTTTGTGAAGCCCAGATGCCCTTCAGTAGATAAGTGGATCAAAAAAAATGTAGTACCTATACACAATGGAATTTTACACAACTATTAAAAAGAATTTTATGTTATTTACAGGGAAATGAATGGAACTAGAACAAATCATGTTAAGTAAGATAAGCCACTCTCAGAGAGACAAATGGCCCAGAGTTTTTCTCTCTTATGTGGAAGCTAGATCTAAAATATACTGAGACATGATAAATCATACAGGACTCTCAGTGAAAGCAAAGGAGGACACCGTTAGGGGAGGAATACAAAGGCTCACTGCCTACGTGCCTCTGATCATATCAAATATTTATCACAACGAATTCTAGGAAATGGAAACAAAGAAACAAAAGAACCAAATAAATCATTCAAATGCTGCTTCCTAGGTGAAGCCCTTATAATATACAGCAGGAATGTTATTTCAGGGTGACATTTCACAGCAGGAAAGCATCAAGTGTGTTCATGGTGACAACCCAGCCAGCTGTGGCTTAAAAGGCCTGAGGGTTCTAAGTATCCCCGAACCAGACCTAGTGGACTTTGATGGCATTTTTGGCTTTTTTTTTTTTTTTTTTTTTTGATGGGGTCATGGGGCTTGAACTCTGGGCCTGGGCACTGTCCCTCAGCTCTTCAGCTCAAGGCAAGCACTCTTCCACTTGAGCACAGCTCCACTTCAGGTTTTCTGAGTGGTTTATTGGAGATAAGAGGCTCAAGGCTTTTCCTGCCTGGGCTGGCTTTGAACTGCGATCCTCAGATCTCAGTCTCCTCAGTAGCTAGGATTACAGGTATGAATCACTGGCACCCAGCTGGCTTGTCATATTTTATGTGGTCATTTCTAACTTTTTATGTTTTGTTAGGTTTATTGCTAATCTAGTAGAGTTTTGTTTTATATTTTAGTTTACTGCATTTATGCATTGGAGTGAATTGTGAATAGTATTATTCCCTATTCTACTGCACTGCAGAAACTTTAAAACTCAGGCTTTAGATATGCTGTAGCCTAAGAACAGATTATCTTTTAGCGAGTCCATTTGCAATTCAGTTGGAACTCCATCTGTGTTTTCATAGCAAAGCAATTTCACTATATTTGATGTCAACGTTCCCATAATGGTGGTAGGTAAATGCTTCCCTACTGGCACAGGTAGGCTGAATGCTGGGAACACGCCTGTGTTCAGACATGGTGCACCAAACTTGAAAAGAACACCTTGGCCCTGGGGAAGCAGAGGCAGCAGAGTCTCTGAAGCTGCTTTAGAAACAGGCAGGAAGGTAGCCAGGTGGCTACACAGTGGCTCAAGCCTGTAATCCTAGCTACCTGGGAGGTGATCAGGGGATCATGATTTCAGGCTAGCCTGGGCAAAAGGGTTAATGAGGCTCTGTCTCAACCAACAGCCGGGCACAGTGGCATACCTGTTATACCAGTTACCAGGGAAGCATAATAGTTGGGGTGTGGTAATGTGGGCCTGTCACCCCAGTGATACAAAAAAGCACAAACAGGAGGCTCATAGTCTAGGCCTGCCTGAGCATGAAGCAAGATCCTATCTCAAAAATAATCAACTGGGTAAAGAGCTGGTAGAGTGGCTCAAGTGGTAGATCACCTGCCTTGCAAAACAAGGCCCCGAGTCCAAACTAGTAATTCAACAAAACCAAACCAAACCACAGGAACTTGAGCTACCAGCTACTTGAGCACCCTGTGTACAGTAACTCGTTAGCTGAACTGTTCTGAAGAAGTAGGACTAGTTATATATAACACTGAGGTTATCTAGGTGGCATAAAGTATAGCAATGTGTACACAAGTGAAAATTCACTGTAAAACTTGAGATGCACATTCCAGTGAATGATAATTATCAAGGGACTTGGACAATTTGTTGATATCACTGATTGAGTAGAACAAATTGATAGCTATGAAGTCTATTGACTCAGGTGCATTTCTTTCAAAGTAGTTTAGTAAACTGACATTTTTGCTCATAAGTATAGATATTTGCCCCAATTAACCCATAATTTTCTCTCTTCTCCCCCATCCTCCACCCCCAGGGGCCTAGTAGAGAAAAAAGAGTTGGAGCTGGTTTTGAGTAAGTTGGAAGCAGCCCAGAAATACTTGGCAAAGAAATACTGTTCCCTGGTGCTGGGCCTGAGCGTGCCCGACAGGCATCACATGGCCTGTGGAAAGTGAGTCATTTTGTCATCACAGCCTTAGGATCCTCCCCCATTTGACTTCTGGTGCCTGGAGACACTGTTGCCCTTTCTGTTGTTCAGAATAATTGGGCTCAGTGAGAATCTGAGCACGTGTGATGTCTACTTTGGGGAAGCCAAGGGTCTATGGAAGGAATTCCAGAGTCTGGGCTGATAGCTTAAACACTGCTCCCATTGGGAGATTAAATAACTCGATAGCTTAGTGGAATCTTGCACTCAGCTGGGCAACATTTCTACTGCCAGGCAAGGGCAGAGGCAGAGTGACTGCCCATGCTGGGGTGGGGTGGAGGTGGGGGTGCAGTGTCTGCTTATTTTTCAGTTGTGAGGGGTGGCTGCCAAGCTGGGAGTACTGAATTGACACCTGCGACCTTGCGGTGATCATGTCTACACAGATCTAATTAAGACAGAATAAGAACACTCATCACAGGACCATTTGGGATCACAGCATAGAAAGATCCAGTCCTTAGCCCCAGAAGATCTGATCAGGCTCACAAGCCCACAAGCCACACCATGTTAGAGCCAGAAGCTAAAACCACAACAAACAGCTGGACAAAGAGTTCAGTACACGATGTCCTGACATTTTCAGAAAGCTTACTTATAAGTTGTTGCTGTGTACTTGGCTGTGCTCTGCAGTGCCTATGTGCTTTCTTCCTCTCTTCTGAGTACAGAATCTTTTCATTGCCATTTCCAATGGCAGATATCATCTCTGTAGTGTGTAGTAGGCCCATTTGCTTAACTATTCTTTATTTTTTGGTGACCATTTATATGCATCTATTTTTTCTGTTATATAACATGTTTCTATTGAATATCTTTATACAAATCACATGAGCTATTTCCTTATAGCTTATTCAGAATGAATTTACCTAAAGGACACAAAAGTTCTTTTGGGAGAGGGTTCCTGGTGCTTGAACTCAGGGCCTGATGCCCACTTGGCTTTTTTTTTTTTTTTTGCTCAAGACTGATACTGTATCATTTGAGCTACACCAACACTTCTGACTTTTAACTGGTTAATTGGAGACAGAAACTCACAGACCTTTCTGGCTAGGCTGCCTTCAAACTCTGATCCTCATATCTCTGGCATCCACTGGCATCTGGCATTTGTGCAGACTTTTAAACGGACCTGTGAGGTTTGAAATTAGGCAATTGTCTCTGGTTAGCACAGCTCATTCCAAGAAGTACTGGTCACTTTTCTGCAGTGTCATCTGTTTGCCTATTGGATCACAGAGAGAAGCATCTTAGGGTTCACTACCCATCATCCACAGACAGAAAAAGCTGTGGGGGGAAAATGGAACAAAGTACTCTTACCAATGAGTTCCTTGGCTCTGGGTATTGTTATGTTCTTGAATCCAGATTGTTCTTGGTGCTCTTTAAGGAAGAAAAGATAAGGATGTTTTTTGCTGATAAGTGGGTATCTGGTTTTAGTATATATCATTATCTCACTTCTTTTCAGTGTGAATTAGCTAACCTGGACAGGTTTTTCTCTGGAATATGTGCATTCTGAATATTGCATAAACACCTTATGCGATTTATCTTTGGGGTTATGCTGAAGTTTGAGTAGAATTGGTCATTTGGGTGTTGTTATTATGATGCACTCATCTCTCTTGAGAAGTAGGCGAACATGCTTCTATTCTAAACACATCTGTGAAAGCTGGGGCATCTCAGTGCTTCTGCAAAATTTTGGTGAACACATTCAGTACAAGTCTCTGTGGCTTTGTTTTTCCTTTGGGTTCTGGTTTTTCCTCCTGGGATTTGAACTTGGAGCCTGGTCACTGTCCCTGAGCTTCCTTTGTTCAAGGCTAGTGATCTACCACTTGAGCCATAGCTCCACTTCTGTTTTTTGTTTTGTTTTGCTTTTTCTTTTTGGCAGATAATTGGAGATAAGAGTTTCACTGACTTTCCTTCCCCAGGCTGACTTGGAACTATGATCCTCAGGTCTCAGCCTTCTGAGTAGCTAGGATGACAGGTGTGGCCTCTGTGCTCTTGGAGAGACAAGAAAGCATCTTTTGTTTGGGCAGTGCCTGTTCTGACTCCACTCCCAACAGTACTTTGGTACAGCTGTCGACACCTGTTGGGAAACAAAAAGGAAGAGGGTGGTAGGAGATGTGGGAAGGTGGAGAGAAAGGAAATTTCTTGGAAGCTCACACCTATAAATCATCCTTTGTATATGTGCTGATACTCAGGTCCTCGAGTTCTGGCTTGGCTTCTTTGCTCAAGGCTGGCAGGCTACCACTTGAGCCATGTTCACCTTCACCCACCCTCTCTAATCGCCCTCCCTCTCTTGCTCATCCAGCCTCCAACAGAACCTGTTTTGCTTTGCTGTCATTCTTTATTTTTGTGGGTATAGCAATTGGCATTTCACCACAGTATTTCACATGTGCATGTATTATAGTTTAATAAGAATGGCTTCTTCTGTTCAGGCCTGGGTTTTAGTACAAGATCTGGTCCTAATTAAAATATGTCTTAGGATTTCAGCCTCACCTTCAGTTTCTTGTATGTTAAGTGAGTATTGTACTGACTATGTCATAGGGGTAGCAGGAGGAGTAACTATGAGATAAAGGGTGTAGTGTATTTCTGAGCCTGTCCTGAGGCAGAACGTCGTGGGGGGGAGGACATGCTCCCTTCCTGAGGCCCAAGAAGCAGAGAGAGGAAGGGACCAAGGACAAGCCCATCCTTCCACAGAACTTCCACCTAGACCCCACAGATGAAAGTTGCCTCTGTGTTCCAGTAACACCATCAGCTAGCAACCAAGGCTTTAGCCCATGAGCCTTGGGGACGTTTCAGATCTCAACCACAGGTCATGGTCCTATTTTGTTTTTGGAGTGGGAAAGGAATAAGAGCTAATCACTAAAGATTGAGCTTCCTTTTAACCTGAGGTGGTGATTTGTTATATTGTAGGGAAAAAATATCAGACACACAAAAAGACTGGAAATTCTTTGAGGTAAGTCATTTTCTGAGGGTTTCGCGTGCGCTCATGCATGCGTGCGTGCGTGCGTGCGTGCGTGCATGCATGCGTGTGTGTGTGTGTGTGAATACTGGGGTATTGAATTCAGGGTCTCATATTCTCACTTGGTTTTCCACTGAAGGATGACACTCTACCATTTGAACCACAAGTGCACTTCTGGCTTTTTGCTGGGTAATTAGAGATAAGAGTCTCGAGTTTGTGCTGGCATTGAACCTAGATCCGAGTCTCAGCTTCCACTAGGATTACAGGCATGAGCCATTATGTTATGAAATGTGACATACAGTAATCACCAATAGCCATTTGTTAGGCACTTACTTTTGGTGACTTATCTTTTCTAAAATGAAGAATGCTGTGTTGCCCTTGGAATTTCAGTCTGACTTTCATCCTGTGAAGGTGAGCACAGGGACAACTTTGCACAACTTTTCAAGGATGTTGAGAAATTGGATTGTCTGAGCTTAGAAGTATTCTATAGTAAGGTTGTTTTTTTTTTAAACATAATTTCTGGAGATTGTGATTCAAAACTCTGTTTTTTCTTTTCTTTCTTTCTTTTTTTTTTGGGGTGGGGGGGTGGTCGTGGGGCCTGAACTCTGGGCCTGTGCTGTCTCTCAGCTCTTCAGCTCAAGGCTAGCACTCTGCCACTTGAGCCACAGCGCTGCTTCTGGTTTTTTCTTTTTCTTTTTTTTTTCTGGATTTTTCTGCTTATGTGGTGCTGAGGAATCGAACCCAGTGCCTCATGCATGCAAAGCAAGCACTTGCCACCTTCCCAGCCCAAAACTCTGTTTTTTCTTTGTAGTCCTTTTATACTTTCTGTACACATATAGCCTGGATTGTCTTCAGACGTCAGAATTTGATAGAAATTGAGGATGAAGTAGGAAGGCTTTTCCGTACCAACATGTTCAACATTGCTCGAAGGAAGCGTGAAGATGCACAATTGGGAGGAGAAAAGAAACGTATGACTTTGGTACAATTCAGGTATGACCTCTGTTTTCTCCCCTCCCTCTCTACTTCTTGTCTTTTTCTTTTTCTTTCTTTCTTTTTTTTTTTTTTTTTGGGTCCGGTCATGGGGCCTGAACTCTGGGCCTGGGCGCTGTCCCTCAGCTCTACAGCTCAAGGCGAGCGCTCTACCACTTGAGCCACAGCGCCACTTCCGGCTTTTTTCTTTTTGCTTATGTGGTGCTGAGGAATCGAACCCAGGGCCTCAGGCATGCAAGGCAAGTGCTCTACCACTGAGCCACCTTCCCAGCCCTTCTTGTCTTTTTCTATAGCCTCTGCTGACCTCCAAACTTGCAAGCCTCCTACTCCAGTCTCCTAGGTAACTGGCACTACAGGCGTATGCCACTGTGTTGAGTTCAGTTAGGATAGGACCTGTTGACTTTTTTACGATAAAGAATGCTTGTCAAAAATAGGACATTGTGACCTAAATGTCATTTTTTCCCCCCACAGGAGAATGATGGCAAAACGCCCAGCAATTAAAAAAGCCATGGACATGCGCTCTCCAGTCATGTCTACCCTGCTACCATCTCTCAGAGAGAAAGCTCAGCATATCATTGAGAGAAAATACCACTCAGGCACCAAACCCCCCGCCTACGCATCCAAGCATGTGATAAGTCCAGAAGCTGTGCCCATGCCAGTGTGAGTGGCCCAAAGAGAGAAACTGCAGGGTCCTGACTACTGCTGCCTAGGGCAGGGGCCGGGCCGGGCTCAGGGCCTGTTCCAGTGCCAGAAAGATGAAAGCACCTGTTTCTCCATTGCACTCCACCACACTGCCCCCTCCTCTCCACGTATTTTCTGGTGGGAAGGGCAACGTACTCTTTAAGGCTGCAAATTTTCTCCCCTTCCTCTTCCCATTCTTCCTCCCCTCCTCTTCCCCTCCTGCCCCCTCCCTCCCTCCCTCTTCTCCCCCCCTCTCTTTTTCTTTCCCTCCCTCCCTGACTTCCTTCCTCTCCTCCATTCCCTCCCCCTCCCTCTCTCCCCTCCCTCCTTTCTTTCCTTCCTTCCTTCCCTTCTTTCTTCCTTCCTTCCTTCCTTTTCTTCCTTCCTTTCTTTCTTTCTTCCTTCCTTCTTTCTTCCTTCCTTCCTTCCTTCTTCCTTCCTTCCTTCCTTCCTTCCTTCCTTCCTTTCTTCTTTCATCATAGTGGAGTTTGGGACACTCTCAAAGCCCAGGCTATGCTTGAACTTGCAGTCCTTTGGCCTCTGCTAGAAAACTGAGGGTTTTCTATAATAATTTTGCAGAATGTGGGGAGAGCTAGAAGAATCTGGTACTGTGGGTTTAGTTTTCAATTTATGTTTAAGACCATTATGGTAGTTCAAGGAAGCAAGTGTAGAATTTTTAAAAAGTGGGTGTATTAGTCTTCACTTTCTTTTTTTAGAGCTTTATTTTTTTAATAAGTTTTTTACTGTGAGAATACTGTACAGAGGAGGAGGGGTTATGAGCAAGGTAATGAGTACATTTCTTTTTTTTTTTTTTTTTTGTCGGTCGTGGGGCTTGAACTCTGGGCTTGGGCGCTGTCCCTGTGCTCTTCAGCTCAAGGTGAGCGCTCTATCGCTTGAGCCACAGCGCCATTTCTGGTTTTCTGGTGGTTTATTGGAGATAAGAGTCTCACAGACTTTCCTGCCCGGGTTGGCTTTGAACCGTGATCCTCAGATCTCAGCCTCCTGAGTAGCTAGGATTATAGGCGTGAGCCACTGGCGCTGGCAATGAGTACATTTCTTATCAAGCATTGTTGTCTCTTTTTTTGTTTTTCCCTACCATCCCTAGTCTTCACTTTCTTACACACACACACACACACACACACACACACACACACACACACACACACACACACACACACACACACACACACACACACACACACCACAGAAGCAACCACACTGTGTACATCCGTCTTTGTCCTTGCTGTTCAGCTGTATCAATAATTCTCTTCACAGAGTTGGCATCCTGGGGGAGCCTCGATACATGTTCAACCTGCACACTCTTACCCCCCTTGATCCAGAAGAGAACATGAAGCCATCGGGAAGAAATGCTTCCCTGATAGAGAGAAATAACATGCAGGTGCAGGACTTCCTGGACATGGCCCTGCACACCCTGACCTTCCAAAGCCTCAAGTGACGCAGGGCGCTCCCCTCCCTCGCCTCCCTACTGCTGCTGAACTCAACTACTTTTGACCAAATTCATGTAGAACTACTACTACTTCTTATTATGATTAAAATAAATCTTTAAGCTTGTAAGCTTGTTCAAGTTCTTGTATAGCCCAAGTTATTTTGTTAAAAGTTCAACAATAGGGCTGGGAAGGTAGTTCCGTGGTAGAGTGCTTGCCTCGCATGCATGAGGCCTTGGGCTTGATTCCTCAGCACCACATTAACAGAAAAATCCAGAAGTGGCACTGTGGCTCAAGTGGTACAGCACTAGCCTTGAGCTGAAGAGCTCAGGGACAGTGCCCAGGCCCAGAGTTCAGGCCCCATGACCGATGGGAAAAAAAAAAAATTGCTAACCCTTTTTTGCTGTGGTTATTTTTGAGATAGCATCTTGCTTTAGATCCTCAGGCTAGCCTGGACTTTGATCCTCCCAAACTTAGCCATCTGCATATAGGGATGATGGATATGTGGGGCTAGTAAACTTTTTGTCTGGGTTGGCCTCAGAAATTTATCTGATTTCTGCCTCTTGAGTAGCTAGTGAGCTACCACTCCTGGTTTAGTTAGCTAGTGTTCTAACCAAAGCCTTTTGTTCATTTCTAAGTGTATCTTTGCCTATTGGGAAAGCAACTTTGGTACACATGTGAACAAAAATTTCATAAAAGACAAGCTAAAATAGTTTAACATTAAATCTCATAGCTACATTATTAATGACATTGAGATATAAAAAACTCTTTCACTGAAAAGCTCTTAGCATATGTGATCTATTCTTTCATTTATTTTGTAACAAATATGTCTTTGCTTTTCTAAGAGAGAATATGTAAAATATAAGGAACCTATTCTCGGGCTGAAAAGTTGGCTCAGCAGTAGAGTGCTTGCCTCGTATGCATATGGGCCTGGGTTTGATTCCTCAGCACCACATAAGCAGAAAAGGCTGGAAGTGGCTCTGTGGCTCAAGTGGTAGAGCACTAGCCCAGGCCTAGAGTTTAGCCCCACAACTGACAAAAATAAAGAAACCTATTCTCAAACATCTTCAGTGGGTCTCCCAGATATAGATACAAGTTTTTCAAGCATGAAGAAGTGATATAAACTCCAAGTATAAGGAAGCTCAGACAAGAACAAATGTAGGCCTTGCTTTAACAGTGGTAGATTACTTACTAGAAATGTTAGCTATTAAAAAAATCTGCATTTAACTCAGCTAGGACTGACCATTTCCACCATGTTTCTTTATCCTTATTAAATACATAGAAAACATAAAGCAGGAGATAGTAATGCTATGTGGTAATTAGATGTCTTTCAATTCATAACCTTTTGATAAAGAGGAAGATTGTAATATAGGACTCGACGTATACAGATATATATAGAGATATGTAATCATGGATATATGTAGACATAGATCTAGGTATGTTTTCTTATTAAGTTCCAAGTGGATTTTTTTTTTCCTTACTTTTTTTTTTTTTTTTAATTGTAAAGCTACTATACAGAGGGTTACAGTTACATGAGTGAGGTAATGAGTACACTTCCTCTTGAACATTGTTACCCCCTCCATTGTTTTCCCCCTACCATCCCCTCCCTCCCTCCCTTCCCTGAGGTTCTTTTTTTTTTTTTTGATTGTGATTAAATGATTACATAATTTCAAAGTCACAAGTTCATTCTAACTTCCCTGGAGCAAATTGTCTACCACAGTCTGTAATATATAACAGTGTTCACATGTTATATACCATATTTGTGATCAGCAGCATGGGGATATTTAGTAGTGGTTCAACCAGATGAGCGGGAGTTCTTTGTTTCTTAAGTCCTGTTAGTTTTGTCGTATCACCTAACCTTTTGGATTTAGCATCCACTTATCAGGGAGACCATGTACCGTTTATCTCTTCGTTCTTGGCTTACCTCGCTCAACATGATTCCTTCTAGCTCCACCCATTTCCCTGCAAATGCCATTATTTTGTCATTTCTAATTGCTGCATAATATTCCATTGTGCCAAGTGGATTTTATATAAGATGATCTTATTCATGTTTAGATTTTAATATCTTGCAAATACTTTCCTCAGTTTCATTTTGCTTCAGGTATTTTAAAATATAATAATAAATATATTTTAAAGATTTTTCAAACATAAAGAAGGGTTACTATTTTCTTGTGATGTTTTAGGCTTAGAAATATTGATTTAAACACTAAAAACTTTCCTTATTTTATGTTATTTTGTTATTTAATACATAGCATGTGTTTTTATATAGTGTGATAATGAAATTAAACATTTTCTTCATTCAGAAAAAAAAAGAAACCTATTCTCAAAGGCATCCCAACTCTTCAGTTCATAGTTGCACTGGCTGGCTACCAGAATGCAATAAGTAATAGGAATGTCAGTGTAGGAGCTGGCCAGGGGGCAGGCAGAGCCCTCTCTGTAGCTTCCAGCTCGCCAGGCCAAGCCTTTGCTTCCCAAGAGCATTGCTGTCCCTCCTGTATTTAGAATAAATCCAGCTTTGGTTGTCCAGCAACTGAATCATGGCCTATCCTCAGTATTTCTTTGGATTTGGAAATGAATTTCCATGGCTTCTTCATAAGAAGGAGTACAGTTCAGATAATCAACTGCAGTTCTTGGAAAGGATTAAAATATGAACTCAGCTCACCACTCACCAACTATCTAGAAGCCAGAAAAGTGTATGTATGGGAAAAGAGGTTTATATAAATACTTCCTTCAGTGACCCACACGATAGAGTTAAGAGCAGCAACTTGTGTAGAGTGGATGATACCAAATTTGGTGGAGTTGCTAACACCCCAGGCAACAAGAACCAAACTCAGTATGACCCTTCCAGACAGGCCTTGACAAATTAAGAATAGAACACAAGTCATGCCACAAATTTGAGATTGGAATTGACTCATAAGATCTGTTGTTTAAAAAAGACTGTCCTAAGCACAAAATCAATCAGCAATGGAGAAGTACTAGGAGACAAAGGAACACAGTGTTAGAATTTTTATCTTGAGACGAGGTCTGCTATATAGCCAGGAGAGGCCTCAAGCTCCTGATCTTTCTGCCTCAGCCTCCCAAGGATCGGGGTTATAGGCAGGTACTACCATGCCTGGCTGGTGCTGGGAATATTAATGAGGAAAAGATAACTAAAGGGCTGGGAAGGTGGCTCAGTGGTAGAGCGCTTGCTTTGCATGCTCAAGGCCCTGGGTTCGATTCCTCAGCACCACATAAGCAGAAAAAGCCGGAAGTGGTGCTGTGGCTCAAGTGGTAGAGCACTAGCCTTGAGCTGAAGAGCTGAGGGACAGTGCCCAGGCCCAGAGTTCAGGCCCACGACTGGACCCAAAACAAAAACAAAAAACAAAAGATAACTAAAACTTCTGAGACCTTTTCCCATATATGACATTGATAAGACCTTAACTGGAGAACATTTGTGTCCATTTTTAGGCCTTATAATTTGGATTTGTTATTGTTGTTGTTGGTGGTGGTGGTGGTTGTGGAACTTGAACTCTAGACCTGGGTGCTATCCCTGAGCTCTTCAGCCAAGGCAAGTGCTGTACCACTTGAGCCACAGCACACTTCCAGTTTTCTGGTGGTTAATTGAAGATAAGAGTCTCATAGACTTTCCTGCCCAGGCTGGCTTTGAACCATGATCTTCAGGTCTCAGCCTCCTGAGTAGCTAGGATTATAGGCGTGAGCCACCGGCACCCAGCTAGAAAATATTTATTAAAAAAAAAAAAAGCATGCCAAAAAGAAATAGGGGTGGCTGGGAAGATGGCTCAGTGGCAGAGTGCTTGACTTGAATGCAGGAAGCTTTGAGTTCGATTCCTCAGTACCACATAAGCAGAAAAAGCCGGAAGGGGTGCCGTAACTCAAATAATAGAGCAATAGCCTTGAGCTGAAAAGCTCAGGGACAGCGTCCAGGCCCAGAGTTCAGGCCCCATGACCGACAGAAAAAAGAAAAAGAAAAAAAAAGAAAGAAAGAAATAGGAGTAACTTAAGATATGGAGAGGGGAAGATGGAGAAATTAAAAGCTAACTGGAATTACCTACAGAAAGAAAACTCAGAAATAACTGTTCAAGTATTCACACTGAGATGACCAGAAGAATGTTGGATATGTTCTGCTCTCTTGGACTCGAGGACACAGTGGAAGTTAAGGGCTGAATATGAAAAGATTTAGATTACAGCCAGGCACTGGTGGCTCACGCCTGTAATCCTAGCTACTCAGGAGGCTGAGATCTGAGGATTGCGGTTCAAAGCCAGCCCGGGCAGGAAAGACTGTGAGACTCCTATTCCAATAAACCACTAGAAAACCGGAAGTGGCGCTGTAGCTCAAGTGGTAGAGCGCTCGCCTTGAGCTGAAGAGCTGAAGAGCTGAGGGACAGCGCCCAGGTCCAGAGTTCAAGCCCCATGACCGACAAAAAAAAAAAAAAAAAAAATTTCAGATTACACTGAATTCAAAGAAGTGCTGGCTTGGGGCAGCTCAGAGGCCTGGTAACTTAGTGTACAGCATGTGCTGGTCTGCAGTATGTACAGTCTGAATCCAGCCCACCTAAGTTCAGGTCCCAGCACCACCACTTACCCCGTGAGCTCTTGCATAAGTTACTTCGCCTAAAGCTGCCTCAGTTTCCCGAATTGGAGAAGCAGGGATTGTCTGGGGTGCGGTATGGCAAGTGATTATTGAGTTATCACGAAGTATGGAGATTTGCAGAATGGAATCCCCAGAGGGTTTCCTTGAGACTATTCTGGACGTGTGAAAGACTGTCCTAAACATAGGGTTGAATTCCTAGCTCTAATTTAAATCGAGTCTGTCAACAACACACCATGTCTATGTTAAACAGCTCCCTGTTTCAGTTATCATTTTAGTCATACTTTCAAAACTGCCTCATTCTATCACATTTTTCTATCACAAAATTAGAAATCTTGTACCCTTCTCCAGGCTGGAGCTGCCTTGCTTGTGGTGTACATAAGTCAGCCACATGGCTGCATTTCAAATGTGGAGGAGGCTCTGACTTGTTCCTTGGCCTTTGACTATGACAGCAGTATTAACAGTGTTCACAACATACTGTGGATCATACTGACACCTGAGTTCTGTTAGTGATCCACTTTAATTCAGATAAATTCCCT